CAGACTTTCAAAAGAAGGAGGGAAGGAGGGAAGGAGGGAAGGAAGGAAGGAAGGAAGGAAGGAAGGAAGGAAGGAAGGAAGGAAGGAAGGAAGGAGGGGAAAACTCCTGTTTAGTGCAAAAATGGGAGAAAGAACAAAAAAGAAACAAGAAGGAAAAAAAGAGAGAAATTGGGGAGGGAAGAAAGAAAAGGTTGCAACAATCAGATTTATGTTTTGTAATTCCTGGTGGAATTTTTTTATCAGAATCCCTTTAACCTGGCAATGGCAGCATACTGACATGAGACTCAGCTTGTTCTTCATCTCCTGATTGACATTTCTCTTCCCCATTTTTTTGCATTCTCTACTTACATCTGGAATGAGGACCAGATGTAGATGGGGATGCAGAGGTTGGCAGGCAAGATCTTCCATCTGCCAGCAGGGAACCAGCTCTCCTTGAAGGTCACACTGAGCAGAAACCAAGCAGCTCAAACTCCCACCAGTAGCATTAACTTCCAAACGGCTGCGTGTCCAGGCCGTGGCCAAAGCTGCTGGGTCTGAAATGAAAGGTTGCACTTCTATCAACGTCTGTAGCGATTCTCAGCCATCCAGGTCTGAGATGCTTTTTCAGGAGGCAACAGGACTTTCTTGCTTTTCTCTTTGAAAAAACTTAGTTTTTTCATTTCTCATCCAAGAAGCTTCTTCAGCTTGACTGAATGGTGGGGAATGGAAAGATTTATATTCCTTGCAGACAGCTGATCATTTGCATCCAGAGGTGGACTGCAGCCAGTTTGCACCGGTTCAGGCGAATCGATTGTTAAGTTTTTTACCAGTTCGGAGAGCAGCATTACTTTAAGAACCTCCAACATGAAAACTGTGGTTACTCATCCTAAAATAAATCCTCTTTACTTGGAGCTTCAAAATTTGCTATTTGCTGAGGAGGTGTGTAGCTAAAAGTCAGCCTACATTTAGTGTACATCTGACTTTGGGGAATATTTCTTCATAACCAAGCAAAAGTGCATTTTCTCTGCAGTTCACACCCCTTGCTCGCTGGATCTGGATGTCACAAAGCAAAGCCCACATTTTGTAATTAACCCCCAAGCCCCGTTTTGACTGGCAGAGTGCTGCAGGAGGTTGAGTGCTGTCATGCCCCCCCCCCAGTCATGGCCACCCCCAGCCAGGCTACCCAGCCACACCCACCCAGCCAGTCATTAGGGCAGAGAACCGGTTGTTAAATTATTTGAAGCCCACCACTGTTTGCATCCTTTTTGAGGGTCGTTGAAGCTCATGAAGATTTATCTGTGTCCTTAAGGTCATCTGACTAGTGCTAATGGTTCCTGTACTTTGCAATTTTTCTGTTCATATAACCATACCATTCAAAGAGTATTCATCCCAAATTGCGTAGCTAAACATCTGTAGCTACAGATGACCAGCTGCCTGCAAGGAATATAAACCCTTCCATTCCCCGCCATCCAGTCAGAGCTGAAAAAAGCTTCTTGGATGAGAAGCAAAATGTCTTCAAAGAAAAAATAAACAAGAAAGCCCAATTGCCTTCTGAAAAACCACCTTTGGGACACTTCTATCAAAGCGATCCCATCTTCCCAGCAAGCCCATTACCCCGCATATGCATATATTTACATTTATTTTAGCCATTCGCTATGTGCCTTAAAAACGGAATGAAATGCAATTTTCATACCATTTGCAAAGGGACAGAGATGAGTTCGAGGTGTGTCAGCTTGGTCTTCAATATTGGGCCAGATCTATGAACACAATATTTGAGAGGATAAGGAGAGGGAGAAAGATGGCTTTAAAGAACATTCCTCATCCATCCATCCATCCATCCATCCATCCATCCATCCATCCATCCATCCATCCATCC